CCCCAAAACCCCAAAACCCCAAAACCCCTTTATGATAAATACGTTAAATCATTTCATTGTTTTAGAAATTATTACTTTTATAATCAAAGCTATTTGATAATAATAATTTTAAATGTTACACTCAGATTAATTCATTAAATTATCAACTGTCACTCTCTTTAAACACTCTCTTGAAGTCTAAGATATTGAGAAGACAAGTCAAATTACTGAAGAGAAATCTCAAAGCAAGCAATAAATTGGATTGCTCGAAGAAATTAAGAATAGATTTAGCAATGTTATGGGCCTTGTTCTTATGATTCTAAGTATTCTACTTATGGTAGTAAATATGCTAGCCTTCAAAGAAATAAGAAGAGTAAACTAAAATTTCAGTTATGTCGAATTGTTAATGGTGAGAGGTTTATTTCAAACAGTCATCCAGGCAGCCCAGATTAAATTGTTGAAAGTACCACTTAAGATAACCAAGCAATAATTCAAGCTTTGTATAGGCAGGGCAGTTCTCTCACTAATTTCTATGCAAATGTTATGGTACAGTTTTTAGTACTTGAATATGGGGATATTTTCTTCATTATAAAATTTAAAACCACTCATTACCTTACTTCTTGCTTATGTCATACTTAGAGAATCACTTAAGTTACCTGAGATTCTAAGTATATTAATATCTTTCACAGGCGCGTTGATGATAGTTATATCTCATAACCAGTAAGCTAAGGCCACTGATACTTAAGAGATTAATTAATAGAGTTTTTGGATAGCTGTTATATTTAATATTGGTGCGAGCACTATCGGAGCTCTAGCCATGGTAGTAATAAGATCATTAAAAAATGTTCATTATACAATTATAAATGGCTTCTACGGAGTAGCTCTCCTTGTTGTTTCTTCCATTATTTGGTTAATTTTTAGGTACCCAATTGGAATACATTACAATTTTGATACTTATTAAACACTTTTAATGACTATGATTGGGATCTTAACCACAGCCTCAAACTAACTTAAGATTGTTGCTTTGTCTATAGATAAAGCAGGAAGAATCGCTTCACTATAATTTTTGGAAGTATTTTTCTCTTACTGCTGCGATTTTTTCATTTACTCCATCTAAATTTAGTTACTAGAAATGCTAGGAGCAGTACTAATAGTAGCATGCTCTATAGCTATGCTTATATTAAAAATAAAACTTAAGTGAGTGATAGATATGAGCTAACATCAGAATTAAAGTGTGATAAATAATTTTCGTTAGAAATATTACTAACTCATTAAAAATAATTACTCATTAAAAATTCTATCATTTAAATTAATTTCTTAAAAATCGAAAATTTAAGAGATGCGGGGTTTTGGGGTTTTGGGG